TGTACAAGAATGGTGATCTCCCCCCATGCACAGGGGAGGGTTGTGTGCATATTACAAAGCCGCCATGCCTAGAACTGTGTGTTCTGCAGAGTGGAGAGAACAGCAATTGGCCATAGTTCCTGCCCCACCGGGTGCTGGGGCTGCATGGACAGGACTGCAGTGCAGAGCAAGGCTCTAACCTTCCCACCTAGCTCTTGTGAAAGCGCTTGGCCACATGCTCCTCCAGGCAGGGCAGAGCTTTTCTTGCACAATAACCAGACTTGGCACCACTAAACAATCTGAATATATTTGCTGTTTGCCTGCTGGGACAGCAGCTGTGTGCCCAGTGCTGGAGCAAAGAGATGAAGCAGTTTGCCAGGGGTGGGGCATGGTCGCCTTTTAGCTTCTGCCCCAGGAGTTTCTATAAGGCTGCCCGAGAAGCGGGGACCACCCTTTACTTGCCCTGCCTGTCTCCAAGAGTGGCTTCTCCAGGCTTCCCTTACTAGCCTGGCGCTCTCTTGGCTCAGCTGACAGGTGCGAGGGGTCTGTAACAAGCTGTCAAAAGCAAATCTACATGAACACTCCACATGCACAGCCTAGAGCAATTCACCAGCCCAGCGCATGCCACAATCTCCCTAGCTTGCTTGTGAGGAGCCCATTGCAGTGGTAATTAGAATGTCATAAAAATGGTCATAGTACATCAGACCAATGGTCCTTCTCACCCAGTATCCTGTCTTCCAACAGTGGCCAATACTAGATGCTTCAGAGCAAATGAACAGAACAGACAATCATGGAGTGATCCATCCAGCCCCTGTGGTCCACTTCCAGCTTCTGGCAGTCAGAGGCTAGGGACACTGAACATGGGGTTGCATCCCTGACCATCTTGGCTAATAGCTGTTGATGGACCTATCCTCCAGGAACTTATCTAGTTCTTTTTGAACCCTGTTATAGTTTTGGTCTTTACAACATTCACAGTTTGACTATGCATTGTGCAAAGAAGTACTTCCTTTTGTTTGTTTTAAGTCTGCTGCCTATTAATTTCATTGGGTGACCCCTAGTTCTTGTGTTAGCTGAACCCGTAAATAACACTTCCTTATTCACTTTCTCCACGTCATGCCTGAGTTTATTGACCTCTTATAATTTGACCGCAGTTGTCTCTTTTCCAAGCTGGAAAGTCCCAGTGTTTTTAACCTTTGCTCATACAGAAGCTGTTCCCCATCCCCCATCATTTTTGTTGCCCTTCTCTGTACCTTTTCCAATTCCAATCTGTTTCTTTTCAGATGGGGAGACCAGAACTGCACCCAGTATTCAAGGTGTCAGCCTTGAGGGCAGGCTGCTCAGTCACCTCCAACAGCCATGATGGTGCTGGAACGGCAGCCTGGCCTGATGACGCTAGTTACATTAACAGCGCTGCTCTCCATAGCGCTTGGCCAACAGTCTTTGCCGCTCCGCACTAGTCAGACCGCAGTTATCAATCCGTTGCCTGGTGAGCACCGCCCAGGGCAGGGCTCTGGGGAGTTGTTGGCATGGCGGACTCCAGGGTCCGACTCTGCGCCGCCGAGCAGTAAGTGCAGGAGCGGGCGCCTTTGCAAACCGGCCCGTGGCTGCTGGCGGCGGCACTGCAGGGGTTAAAGCCAGAGGCGAGGGCGGCCCCCCGGCAGGAGCAGGCGCTGAATGGGAGCCACTCAGCAGCCGCGGTGACTCACCTGCCCAGGTGCGCCCGCCCGGGGCTTCCCGCTGCAAGGAGGAGGCGGCTGGAGCGCTGCTGCCTGCGCCGGTGAGTTCGTTCCCCCGGCCGGCGGCGCCCTTCGCTTCGGCTGCCCGCAGGCTGGGCTGCCCGCTCTGCTGGGGCTCGGGCTAGCAGGGGGCCCACGAGCCTGTGGGGCTGGGGCTCGCTCCCACCTGCCTTTCCGGACGCGCACCGGGCCAGCTGCAAGGCCGGCTTGGGGCCGCTCCCCGTAGGGCTCGGGTGGCTCCACGCGCGCTTCTCTCCCCTCCCCCAGCTTACTTGGGCCCCGACGGGCTTTTGCTGTCTGGGGCTGTCAGTCCAACGCTCCGCTTCGGCCCCTTCTTTTCCCCGGGGCAGGTGAACCGGGTGTGGGTGAGTGATTCCGATGCAAAGTCCTTTGCTTGAGCTAAGACTAACCTGCACAGACTCGGGCAGGGGTCGGGGCGGGCAGCCACGCGGAGGGCTTGCTTACAGAAAAGGGCAAAATAATTCATTACCCTTCCGAGGATGCGGGGCACCATTCTCCAGCCCATTGTTAGATCCTTTGATGAACAACAGTGCCGTTTTTTCTTTCTTTCCTGGCACAGTCCAGAAAGTACCCAAATCCAGCATGGTTTTAACGCTATTGCATCTCTGTATGCTCACCCGGCGGCTCTTCTTAACGTTGAAGTAACACAAGAGTGTCTTTAAAGGAGAAAACTGCTACAATAGGAAGAACTTGAGTCACCTTTCCAGCCCTCCTGGGTTCTTTTTCCTTGAAGCCGTTCCTTAGGACGAGGCTTTAAGACTTCTGTGAGAGTAACAGACTTTCAGTATAGTAAGGTATAGCATATGTTGGCTAGGCTGCCTTAATCTGAGTTAAGTAAACTCCAGACAAACATTTTGTTTGTGTGGGTGTGACCCTTCCAGACTCCTCGTTTTTTTTTGCTGATACAGACTAACATGGCTACCACTCTGAAACCGGTCATCTCTTCTGGAAGTAAAGCTTTTCTATACAAGAGCCAGAAAACATAGTGGACAGCTGATTTAATTAGTTGTCTAGGCATACCCAGGCCTTAAAAATCACACTTATTAGAGTATGGGGTGTAGCTGTGTTAGTCTGTATCCACAAAAACAACACGGAGTCCAGTGGCACCTTAAAGACTAACAGATTTATTTGGGCATAAGCTTTCGTGGGTAAAAAAAACTTCACTTCTGTTGCAGCTGTTAGCCTTTAAGGTGCCACCGGACACAACAAGGTATGTTAAAAAGATTGTGAGCCTTTGAATTTATTTTTTGTTGTTGACTTTAATATATATATAACTAGGGGGGGAATCAAACCTGTAAGGTGAAGCATCACTACTGATTGGCTAAAAAGTTTTGTTTAAAGATGTATGTAAAAAAAAAAAACTTTTTTCCCGAGTTAAATTTTGACTAGTCTTTTAACATGACATTAAATGCCCCAAATACCAGCACTATATTCTTGATAACAGTTTGGTATGAGTACCACCATTTAAAGATCCTCTTCAAAATTAAATCATCACATGCCTTACCACACACAACTGGTGCTGAAGGGAGAATAAGTCCGGCCCCATAATATTTTGTACTGTGGGAGAATCCACTGTCTCTCACCAGTTCCATTCCTAGGTTAGTGGGGACTGGAAATGTTGAGCCATGTGCCTGACTCTTTGTGTTGGGGACAAGGATAGTGTGTATCATTCAACAGTGACTTTCCCTTAAAGGAATGTCCTTAGGTTTAAAAAAGTCCTTATTTATGTTACTAACACCTTTTTAGATTTAAAAACGGTAACTTTGTAATGTTGTTTGAGCTGAAAATTACGAAGTAAGCAACACACCAGTTTCATTTTCAGCTTCTCTCACAGTAACACAATAATATTCCTGACACTCTCAGAATGAGCAAAATTTAGTTGTCTAGTTATGGTGGATTCTGAAGGTCAAACTAAACTGTACTGGAAACCTTGTTTAAAGTAGGCACTGTAGAACTGTTAAGAGGGGATTGCTATTGGAGAGGGTCTTTACTGTAGGTGCATTATGATAGCTGGTGAACGTATATGAATGTGATCAGACAAATATCCATGTTTATTTCCTGGTTTGGAAGTATTGAGCTAAAACAAAGACTTACAGAAATGAAGTTCCTGAACTGTGGTCTACAGAGTATTTGCAGGTTGTGAGTAGAGAGCAGGCTGATCACGTGAGGCAGCTCTGTGTTTTCAGTTACAGAATTGTATTAAGATGGCTAAAGCACTTACTTTCTTAATGTTAAATGTCCACATAAGTAATTGCTGTAGTTGTCAGAGGAATGGGGGGTAGTCTGCATAATTGTGAACAGGAAATTCATAAGACCCTCTGTGAAAGTGTGGACCATAAAGTTTGAGAACTCCTGTGAAGCTGTTCTTTATTTGTTTGGTGTTTTGTATGTATGTGTATTTTGGGGTTGACTAACATTATTGTACAGCAAGCTGGCAGGCTGAAATGTCATTAACGTTGTGTGTATTCATACTAGGAATCTAAATTTCTTTAAATGTTTAGCTTCCTTAATGTCATTTAATTGTAGTGAGGTCAGGACAGTACAGTAGTAGATTAAACCCTGGATTTGTGGAGGTGATGAAGTAGCTGGAATCCTGTCATTTTAAATGTATTGCTTAATGATATAGTAAGATAGTATTGTAACATCAGTGGCAACAGTTTTTGAACATGGAGACAATACATTTAAAATATGTTGAAAACATGCTACAATCTGCATCTTGTTATAGCAAAGTTATTAGCAGTTTTCTTCTCTTTTATACACTAGAGCAGTATAATCCCTGATTCTTGGTCCAAGGAATGACCACTCAAGTATTGCTGAAAGGGAACCAAAACCTGGCTTCTAAACAAAGCTTAAGAATAAACTGAATCTTACATGTACTACTGGTTGTCTATGATAATTTTAAAGGGGAAAAAAATGGCAGCAGAGGTTGTAAGTAAGATTTACCTGTCTAGGTAATTCTCTATATCCAGAAACACCTTAATGCATGCATTTAAAAACAAAGCTTTTGTGGTGCGTGAATTACTTTTCTTATTCTTGTATTTTCCCCCACATCTTCTGGCAAGCATAAAAAGATAAGTTCCATGTACATGGCAAAGCTAAATGTTTGACGCTGTGCTACTATAGCAGATCCTCATGCTATTAATGGCAAGGTATGTCAACAATTTGTCAGATGATGCTTGTTGAAGTGCTAATCCTCTTGCACCTTCTTTCTTCTGTTTAGGGAAAACAGTTAGGCTGACTCTCTTCCTGAAGGATCCTTGTGCTTCTTCCTAAGATCACACAGAGTGTGTGCGCGCACAGGTTCACGTGTGGATTCATTGTAATGGATCGCTACAGATATTTCATCTTTAACCAGAAAAATATGGTTGTGCTGGGGTTCTTGCAGATAGCCTGTGCTGCAGTGTGTGTCATCAGTGGATTAATGGATGGCACCTTCAGAACAGAATCAGCACTGAGTAAAACCAGAGCACCCGTCTGGGCTGGAATGGTAAAGTTGCATATCTTATTTTTCTGTTTACTTATCCTATTGGGGGGGTTATAGTTCAGATGTTGGCTCCCTCTGGGAGAACTTCCTGACTCTTCTCCAGCACCTCTCTTGGAATCTGGTATTTGTCCACTGCTCTGAAAGCACAAGAGTGGAGAGGTACTGGGAAAAGATTTGGGGATATTGTGAGGTGAGCGAGGGAAACCTCCAGCAGGGATTAGAATAACAAGACAAACTGTAATTCAGTTTTTATTTCATCAGGCATAGGATGATTTAGAAAATGAGGCTGTGGAGAGCTGCCATTTTAAAAGTTGCAACCAAAAGAAAAATGTATAAAGCTAATGACTGTATTGAGCTTCAGTGTAGTGGTGGAACACAGAGGACCCCTTCATTTCATAAGATCGACGAGGTGCCCACATAACATAGCTGAACTTTTCACTGAGAATGAATTGTAGTAAGAGTACAACAACACCCTAATTGGTTTTAACTTCATCATTAGGGGCAGCACTGCCCTGCTTCATTGATGTTAGGGATGAAAGCTTAATAACTGCATCAAAGCTTTATAGGTGTTCTGAGCAGCTAAGATTCATAAGGTTTCCCATATGAAAATATTCCTACTATTCAAAAGTAACATACATTGCTACAGCATAATATGATCAGGAGTCATTGCTGCACAGTGATGGTGCCTTCTTGGGTTGTCTGTCTACTGCTTTCGAAGAATAGTTCTCTAGCAACCTGACAACCTGCTCTGACTCGATAACGAAGTGCAACTTGTGTAAAACTTTTTAAATAAACTGTACCCTGGGGGTAAAATCCTGGCCCCCATTTAAATAATTATCAAAGCTTCCATTGCCTGCAGTGTGGCCAGGATTTCATCCTAGAAGTGTAGATAACCCAAAGATGCACATCTTTTAATATGGGTTTAAGGTTGGGGGCAGGAGAGGTGATGTGGAGGGGGATGGGAATGGAAGCCAGAAAGCTTTCCTCAAAAAGTACACTAGAGCTGTGATTTTTCAAACTGTGGGTTGCAACCCAATACTGGGTTGTGGAATGTAAGGCACTGATTTGCGGCGGCTCTGGTCAGCACCGCCAACTGGGCCATTAAAAGTCCTGTTGGCAGTGCTTCCCAGCTAAGGCAGGCTAGTTCCTACCTGTTCCGACACTGCGCTGTGCCCTGTACCCCAATTCCCAGCCCTGAGCGCCCCCAAACCTGGAGCCCCTTCCTGCACCCCAGACTCCCTCCCGCACCCCAACCCCCTGCCACAGCCCTGAGCCACCCGGAGTCCCTCCTGCATCCCAAACCCCTCATCTCCGGCCCCAGCCCAGAGCCTGCACCCCAGCCCAGAGCCCTGACCTTCTCCCACACCCCAACCCCCTACCCCAGCCCAGAGCCCCATCCTGCACCTCAAACCCCTCATCCCCAGCCCAGATCCTGCACCCCAGCCCAGAGCCCTGACCTCCTCCTGCAACCCAACCCCCTGCCCCAGGCCAGAGCCCCCTCCCACACTCCAAACCGCTCATCCCCAGCTCCGTTGGGTTACAGGCATCAACAATTTTCTTCAACTGGGTCGCCAGAAAAAAGTTTGAAAACCACTGCACTAGGGTACCACAAATGACTTTAACTCTGTACTTTCATTCCTGCCATCTTGTGCAGCCACCATATAAGCTACATTTGGGGTATGCAAACTCTTTATTTCCATGCTTTCCAGTGTTTGAGGGTAAATATAACCTTATTGTGAGTTACTTGACTTCCACCAGATTATTTTTACGGCACCTTATATTAAGATTTTATCCTTTAAGTTACTGGCACACATTGACAACATCAGTTCAAATTTAATAAAGCTTTATTAGGGGAATGTTTTTGTTACATAGTGCCTAAAAATACAAACAAAATATTAAAAGTACAAAACTTATTAGTTTTCCCCCTGTTCCTTACATGTCCCCAGATCTCCCCTCCTCACTGTCCAGGTACTCCAGCCAATTTACTGGAGAAGCTGCTGACCCAAAGCTCCTCTTTCATCCTGGACTCATACCTACCCCCTGAATAATAGCTTCTTTCCTTTCAAAAAAGGAGCAGGGAACTACTAATGTGTGTTGGAGTAAGCAACTTTTTAGTAGCTCACTGGTACCTTGACACATGTTATTGACTATTGCACAGCTTCAAAGCTGTTTTGGTGTTGTCAATACAGGAGTTGCAATACCATATCAGACTGGCCCATCTAGTCTGGAATCCTGTCACTGACTGTGGCCAACATCAGATGATTCAAAGGAAGGTGTAAGAGCTTAGCGGTAAGCTAAGCTTACCCCACAAATTAGGTCTCATCCTGATCTCTACTAGTTAAACTGGCTTAAGTCCTGAAGCAAGAGGCTTGCCACCTTTACCTCAACCCTAGCAGGCCAATACTCTGCCCCATCCTCATCTTTGTCACTCTTACCAGAGTGCACCGCTTTGGGCTTGGTCTCTGGGACACTATGAATGATAGTAGAACTGTTTGGTCTCTGCCCCTCCAAACTGGGATTTGCCAGAATACAGCCTTGCTCTGATGTCATCAGTGACTTCAGCAGGTCTGTGCTTGCAATCATTGTCTGTTTGCCCAGTCAGGGTCACAGTGATTGACACTGAAGTACAATGTAACTAGAAATCAGAAGATCTGGGTTCCAATGCTGGCACTGGCTTGCTGTTAAAGACTGAAAGTTCAGAAAACTGGAGATTTTAGAAAGTAACTTAATACCGTGATTTGCATTTTTGATTGATGTTACCATATTTACATAAATGACAGAAAATGTCCTAATTTCCCGAACTTAAGCCAAACAAGGCTGCAGCATGGAATGAGCTTTAGAAAACAGGAATTCCAGATACAATGGTAGGTAGGTAGTGGCAGGCTTTAAGCTATGAACAGTCTGTTGCAGACACTGTGACTCTAGGTCTACAAAATCAGCTTGAATAACTCAAATAGCCAACAGGCTTAACCAAAAATAGAGAACCAGCCCTCACTGAGTCCAGTTAAAGAAACCAAGTTTGGAGTTTCTTAGCTAAGACACTTAAGATGACATGTCAACGACAAACCAGTATTAAAATGGCAAAATACTACTTTGATAAATGCCTTCCCGATTCATATGCCTCTCCCCCAGCCCACTATACACATTCTCATGACAGGAGCATACATGGGATATTTCAGGTGGATTGGCTGAGCATTGGCAAAGTTAGGGAGAGCATCAAAACTTGTGGTAATGGAGCGCTATCTACAGTCTCTCCGTAATACCTTCAGCATATGCTATAAAGGTTGATGGAATTTAAACTACTATATAATTTATAAATGTGCCGACACATGTGGTGATAAGTTTTCCTACACCGAAGGTTATATACTAAAGAGAGCTGTCAGTTAATGCCAATGGCCCTTAATTCCCTGGAATATTATGTGCTAGTTACACACTTTCACACTAGCGGAAATGTAACACTGCTGAAATGTGAAATCTGATTCCAAAATTATAAAGCAAGGCTGGAATAACTGCTAATTTTGACACTAACCTTCAATAGCAGAATGTTTCATTTTCTAAAGAAGTGACAGAATACCATTCCTTAAACTCCAGGATCTGCACCGTTAAAACCAAGAAAGTTGAAGTACGTCAGTTATTGTGACATAAAATGTCTGCTCTCTTCATAGGCTCATTCTTATTATCAAGTGGGGTGCAAACGTCCTAGTTTTCTGTGTGGTAACTATGAACTTAAATAACTTTGTGAGTGCTTATAATTTAAAATGGCTCCTTATGGAATATATTTTTCTGAAACTTTTCATACCCAATATAGTAGCATAACTTGTTAGCATGCTTTCTGTCCAGTTGCAAAATCATCTGTTTATTTTTAACATGCAGGTCATGGGTGTTCCTGGAATTCTGGCTTTATTTTCTTCCCAGAAAAAAAATCCAGTTCTTGTAAGTTTGTAGAATTTTTTTTTTTTAAAAGGGGTAGGTGAAGGAGTGACAAGATACATCTTTTGTAAGCAACACTAAGTTGGTAGTGGCCTGGTTCACTTTATTGCACTTGGTTCTAAATCCTGCTGCAAGATCCTCACTCTGAGTTCTGTGTAGCAGTATTAAATTCTGTAGAAAAATGAAAAATTCTGGCAGCATTTGCTGATCAGTTACTCCAGAACATGTGATTTTACCCCCCCCCTCCCATTAGCTGGTTTTAGATTCCTTCAAGTTCTGTATTTTCTAGCAGTTGCTTTTGAATGTACTAGAGAAATATTTTCACAAATTTCATCTGTTTTGCTGGACTATATAGTATGATACGAATTAAAATGGAATGTGTAAAGAGCTTGCTTCTTGACTTTCTGGCCAGCTAAACTCCAAAAGGATATGTTCTTATTTGTAAACGAGTGAACTGCTAAAAGACCTAAAAGGGTTTTACTTAATCTAATTGCTTTAACAAACATACATCTCTGTGGTCAAGATTTGAGATTATAGGGCATATATAATATAGAGGTGGTAGTGGCTTGGAGACACTTGTTGAACTTGACCATGGTTTCATAATAATTCTTCTTGCTACTGTCCTTTGTTACCAATCTATCACTATAAAGCTTTAGGAGCTGATGCAAATGATTTTCTATTATGATCCTGATTTTTGCCCCTCTTAATGTCAAAGACTCAAAATTGGAAAGTTAGACTCTCCCCCCCCCCCCCATAAAAGGAAATGAATCAGACAAGGGATTCCTGAATTGTGGATCCCTTAAGAGGGGAGAAAAAAACAGCTGGTAAATATAGTAATGAGTATTGTGGGGAGCTCTTGATGCACTCAACAGAATACAATCACTGCAGTATTATGGGTGGTGGTCAGAACATTTGAAATTATTCAGGTTTGATTAATATCTTTCAGAGTGGCTTATTAATTTTAAAGAAAAAATAGACAATGCACTAACTCTTCCTGTCCCCACCCCATATTTGCCTTGAATTTTTTCCTATGCAGGTGAATGCAATGATAGTAGCTTCTATATTTTCTTGTTTTGCCACCATCATTGTAGTTGTCTATGCTTCCTTAACTTTAAGCTATGGTGAAGAAGATGAGATGTTCACACATGAGCCAGTTCATGTTATTCATACGGTAAGTGGCCGTATTTTGTGACAAAATTGCACTTCCTTTTGTAGGAATGCAATCCAGACTTCACAGTTCCTTTCAGTATGTGCAAACTAGGCATATACCAACAATTCTAAAATCAGTTTATTATTGCTGAATGCAGGAAGCTCTGTGATTCTCTGGAGAATCACAGTATAATCTTCTCCTGGTACTTGCTATTGTCCAAGAGAGAATGCAGAACTAGATGGACCACTGGCTTTCTCTGATGTGGAAATTCTTAGGATACTGAACTTCTATCCTAGGAGACATCAATAGCAAGGAACCTGGTGGTCAAAATATGTTAGGAACATGGGGTCTTCCCCATAGAGAGAACATTCAGTGGTAAAGATCTGGGTTCTTGCCTTGTAGAACATAAATGCTTTGGAGATGTTCTCCATGAGATGGGAGTACTTGGTGGCTATTACAGCATGTAGCCTATATAACTGGAGAGTTGGTACCGATAGTCCTTGATATGAAATTGAGTGTAGGAGAATTGGAACAGGAACAGTTAAGATCAAAACCGTCAACATTCTAACTTGATTTGATCTAAAACCTGTTGCCCTTTGGGCCACAGAATCCATTCATACAATTTTAGTGGATTATGGAGACACATAGGAACACCAACCAAGAGTGAGGCCCATTGTGCTAGGAAGTACTGAGAAATTAGAATATCTGTCCCAAGTTCAAACAACTAATATCTTTGAATGGGATAGGAAGGGAAGCCATTGGCTTATTATTATAAAACAAATTACAAGATAACTCAGCATCTTCACTAAACTGCAGTGTAGTCTAGAGCAGTGCTTCTCAAAGTCGGGCCGCCGCTTATTCAGGGAAAGCCCCTGGCGGGTCGAGCTGGTTTGTTTACCTGCCGTGTCCGCAGGTTCAGTTGATCGCGGCTCCCACTGGCCACGGTTCGCCGCTCCAGGCCAATGGGGGCTGCGGGAAGGGCGGCCAGCACATCCCTTGGCCCACGCCGCTTCCCGCAACGGAACAAGCAGCGGACTGGCTTTGAGAAGCACTGGTCTAGGGCATCGGCGCCAACTTCTCCTGTTGCCGGGGGTGCTCAACCCCGCCCTCAGCCCTACCCCGACTCCACCCCTCCCCGCATCCATTCCAATCCCTTCCCCAAAGTCCCTGTCCCGAATCCTCCGCCCCCTCCCTGCCCCTATTGGACTTCTTCCCCAAATCCTTGCCCCGCCTCTTCCCTGCCTCCTCCCCTAAGCACACTGTGTTCCCACTCCCTCCCAGAGCTTGTTACGCTGCGAAACAGTTTCGCAGCGGCAAGCACCGGGAGGAGAAGTGGGGACGTGGCACGCTCATGGGAGAAGGCGGAGGTGAACTGGGGCGGGGTGGGAAGCTTGGCTGCCAGTGGGTGCAGAGCACCCATCAATTTTTTCCAGCCCCAGAGCACCCACGGAGTCAGGGGCTTGAGTCCCAACTCCATCAAAGCTTGCAATATGACTCTGGGCAAGTCACTTAACCTCTCTGCACCTCAGTTTGCACATTTGTAAAAGGTCGGTAAGGTGTAAAAAGAAAATTTACCCATCTCTCTGAAATGCGTTATGGTCTTGGATGTAAGGCTATAGAAGCAATAGGCTGTGTCTTCTGAATTATCAGGCCACTTAGGTACCTAGACATAGATTTAGGTGCTGACATTTAGATACTTGCTTTTGCAAATTTTCTGCTGATATCTGGTCTCTTGATACAAAATCCTTTTGGTACCAATAATAGCTTGTTGGGATTAATATATTTATGAAAAAAATGCAAATACACCCATGCACTGCAGGCCAACTTTCTGATGTCATGCCGCTTAGGTGTGATGTGTCTCACTGTAGACAAAGATGATTCTAAAGCAGTTGTCACCAACCGGTCAACACTGGAGACTCTCCTAGTCGTTTGTGATCTCCAGTGGTGCAGTAGGGCTGCCACTAAGGCAGGCTCCCTGCCTGCCCCGGCCCCATGCCACTCCCGGAAGCGGCCAGCGTGGCCCCGGAGGTTGGGGTGGGGGGCAGAGGTCTCTGCATGCTGCTTCTGCCTGCAAGCACCATCCCCCCCAGCTCCCATTGGCCGGGAACAGGGAACTGTGGCCAATGGGCGCTGCGGCGTTGGTGCTTTCAGGCAGGAGCAGTGTGCAGAGCCATGTGCACCCCAGGCCACTGGGGCGTGTGGGTCCCTACTCGGAATGGTGTGGGGCCAGGGCAGGCAAGAAGCCTGCCTTAGCAGCAGTCCCACTGCACCGCCGGCCAGGAACTGCTGGGTAAGTGCCACCTGGCAGGAGCCCACACTTGAGCCCCCTCCCAGAGCAAGCACTCCATATCCCCTGCTGCACCCTGTATCCCCTGCCCCAGCCCTGACACCCCCCGAGCCAGCACCCTGTACCCCCTCTTGCACCCCAACACTCTCCCCCAGCCAAACGTTTTCCCCCCCTCCTACACCCAAACTCCTTCCCAGAGCCAGCACCCGCTTCTGCACCCCCAACACTCTGCCCCAGCCTGGAGCCCCCTCCTGCACCCAAACTCCCCCCCCTCCCCCAGAGCTTGCACCCCTCACCTCCTCCTGCCCCCCAACCCCAGGCTCAGCCTGGAGCCCCCTCCCACATCCCGAACCCCTCGGCTCCAGCCCAGAGCCTGCACTCCCTCCCGAATCCCAGCCCCTCGCCCCAGCCCGGTGAAAGTGAGTGAGGGTGGAGGTGGGGGGGGGGGGAGAGAGTGCAAGCAATGGAGACCAGGGGTGGGGAGGGGGGAGGAATGGAGTGAGCAGGGTGGGGTCTCAGGGAAGGGGCCAGATAGATCCTGGGTTGCATTTAAATTCAAAAAGTGATCCTATGTGTATAAAGGTTGGAGACCACTGATCTAAGGGGATGGTCCTTCGGTATTTACTTTGCTGTACCTTTGCTGCATCAGTAAAACTATTTCCAAAGCTGACATTAGTCAGTGCTGGTGTGCGCTTGTGTTGGGACAAAGTGTTAAATACAATGAACTTTAAACAAAATGCCTGTTAATTTCAAACTTGACTATATAGTACAAAATTGATAGGAAATTATTGTTGCCTCTGCAGAGGGTAGTACAAAGAAAAACACAAATACAGAAGAGAAATGTCTCCCCTCAACATCAGTGATGTTACTGATTTAAAAGTACATCAATACTAAAACCAACTATTGTATTTCCCCCGTTGACATGTAAAAGAGTAGTAAAGATTTTTACAATGGAAAAAGTAAATACACTACAGATAAAGAATTTCAGTCACTAATCAAAACCTTGTTTTGGAATTTAAGTTACAGCTAAAGCCTTCATTGCTGATCCATCTGACATTTCCTTTGTTTCTATTACAGAAGTTTGTGCTTGATAAACTTGTCAAAGGAGCCAACATAGCAATGTTAATTGCATCTACCTGCAGTGCTTTCATTGTGCTAGTTATTGCTTACATGGGCTGCCGAAGTCTTCCACGTTGTTCATGTTATGACAATGTAACTGGAATGGTATGTAAGTGCTGACTTTTTGAACATAGTTTCTAATTCTATTGCATCACATGTGGTACGTAGGGAAAACTGTGTGGATTAGGGTAAATGCATTAGTCATGTATCTGACTGGTTTATCTGATGAAAGGCAGAAGGTCTGATATCTTCTTTTAAACCCTTGGAGTGTAAGATGTGCCTTTGTGACCTTGAGCCGAGGATGCCTCTTTCTAATGCTCGAAGACTTTTTTTTCTAGTCCTGGTAGATCACAAGACATCAGACTTGTAATGCTAGATATGGAAAGGCATTTTAGAACAATTTTAGAGGTTTCTGAAGTGTCTTAGTAATCACCTCTCTTCCTTTTGAGGTCTGTATTAGGGCAGGTTGGTTTACAAATACAGTTGAAGTACCAACTGATGGATAAAATAACCCCTTAATTTTAAACTCTGCACTTCCTATAAACTATAGCAAATACAAACTCCATCATGAGGTGTAAAGGTTTTACTAGCACTTGTTTTGGATGCTCTGCATAAATTATGAGTAAAGTGTCATGCCAAACTCATACCAATAACACTTCTTGTGTTTTAATGTACTAGATTTAAATTTAAATACCTCTCTAAGCTTATTTGCCTGTGTGCATGGACTACAGTAGAGCCAGTCAGGGACAAAGACGCAATTTTCAGGAAAAGTGTCCCTCGTGTGTAAAAACTGCAAACTTTGAAAACGTTCAACCAGCACTATCATTGACCAAGCAGATTTCATTAAGAAGCTGAGCTATGTATTATAAAATCTCTCTGAATATTGTGACTCCAGTTTTCTAGCTCACTTTCCTGATTTTTAAATTTAGTGTAGGGAAGGAGGACTTCGAGTGGATTGAATAAACAACTTGTACAAAATCACATTTTCCCCTATTTTATCAGAATATACATAAAACATTGACTACATGACATATCAAGAAAAGGGATTTGTATAAAGTATCAGGCTATCATATATGCATGTCAAAAATGATACGTAAATCAAAAGTGGTGAATGTCACTATTTAATTCCACATGTTAAACTACACCCTCCTTTGGGAGAAAAGGCGATAATGAAATTTAAATCTACTACATTAAAATTAGCCTCCTTTCAAATAAACTAGAGTAGAACCTCAGTTAATGAACACCTTGGTAATGGAGGTTGTTCGTAACTCTGAAATGTTCATAACTGAACAAATGTTATGGTTGTCCTTTCAAAAGTTTACAACTGAATGTTGATTTAATACAGCTTTGAAACTTTGCTATGCAGAAGGAAAATGCTGCTTTCCTTTTTTATTTTTTTAGTAGTTTAACACGGTAGTGTATATGCTATTTTTTTCGTACACAATCGGGCGGCAGCAGAGACTTCTGATTCCAAATGAGGTGCGTGGTTGGTCAGTTTGTAACTCTGGTGTTCACAACTCTGAGGTTCTATTGTTCACACAAATTCAAAGTTTACTTTCAAGGATAATTTCTAAACTGGATTATAAGATTGCATAAGAACATCCATGTTTGACTAGCAATGGAAAGATAAAATATAAATCTCATCTGTAGGAATGGTTGCAACCTGCTGAGGATCCGCAGCAGGCTGTGGAACTGGTTTGCACTATGCAAAGTAAGTAACTTTCTCCTCCCTTCCAACTCCTAGATAGATCATTCAGGTTTAAGGTGATAATTCCATACAGTATCATCTACTGAATATGTATTACAAGCCAAATCCTGATAGTGACTGAAAACAAAGTAAGGAACTCAGGATTTGGCCCAAGCAGCTACAGTATGTTCAGTTATCGTCTTTTTTTTTTTTTCCCCTCTCTCTTCCCCCCGCCCCCTCACGTAGGTCATGGGAACAGAATCTTTAATTCCCCAGTGCAGTTTCCAGATCAAGACTTAGATGCAGAGGAAGAACTATCCAAACCACCTCCCTACATCAGACTTGCTTGAAGAATAACTAAGAATTTTAATGCTAATAGACTGGAGAACTTACCTTATATTTTGCTATTTTTTTTTAAGGCTTTTAAAAACAAAATCTGTGCACTTTTTCATGGATTCTTTAAACATGGAACTACTGAATGCACAGAAAGTTCAGCAAAGATGGCAGTGCAATTGTCTACGCACTTGTGGATGAAAAGATCTTACAGGTTCTTAAACTGATTTAGGTCTTGCACAGTTAAAATACCTCATCTCTTCTGGGATGTATGAACCAGTCTCCTGCAGCTTTTATATGAGATCTATATTTTAAGACTAGATGATAATGGAATTTGTCTTGCAGCTTCAGTTTAGTAGTGCTAGCTTTGAGCATTCAAATGTGAAATCATATTGACTGTTTTAAAATGTTTGTTAATGCATCTACATTTTCTCAAATATAACTTGTATTTTTCTGCCTTTTAAACAAGTTATACCAGAATGAAGGAGCCACTTGTGGTTAGACATAATTTCTTTTACTTCTGTGGACTGCACTGGATATTCAGCCATCTTCTTCCATCTTTCTTGGGGAACAGGCTAAAACATCTGGTATTAAAACTTGAAGTGCCCCTGTCAAACTATAGATTCAGTTGTGTTTAAAAAAAATCTTATTTATATTTTATCAATGAACACCTAATAAAACAGGATTTTAAGTAGATTTCTGGCTTGTGCTTATCAGTGTCTTAACATGATGGGAGTTTTATTCACAACAGCCAGTCCTATTTGTGAAGTGCTTCAACTTCCTGTTTAACTAAGTGTCTATACAAAGTGCCTATCAATGTGTACTCATTTCTCATTGGTTAGTACTCCTGGGGGTGGAACACCAACTTCAATAAATGTTTTAGTCACTAGCCAAACATCTTAGACTAGCAACAGCTAAGGAGTTGGCTAGAAAAAATCACTCTGCTCTCTGGTGTTGTTGGGTTAGTGCACTAGCCTTGTAACTGCAAAATTGGATCATAAGTTGATATTTGACAGGTCTGATCCTAGAATCAATCACTTACCTAAGTCATAATCGTGCTAAGGGTTGCAGTGGCTATCAAGCTGGTTCAATTGATCCAGGCCTGGAATAATAGTTATGAACAAGCTAGTGACATCCCTGCCCACTTCCTTCATAAAGAGTAGAAGTTGAATCATTAATAAGATCGGCCTTATCTCTGCTCCACTTACCCTTAGGCTAAGAAGGCTGTCAGGTTTTGGAATCAAATATATTGTATAGTGGGGTAATACTACTAAGGCTTTAGGGCTTTATCTGATAGAAGGGTAGACATCAATACCAAGAAGCATGATGCTTTGTGGGTCTCTGGTGACTTTTGTTGTAGGGATTACTTTCTACATTAACTTCAGGAGAACGTCATTGTGATAGTTAATATTAATGTGTGGAAGCTTGGAACTTTCAACATAAAAGACTTGATTGCCATTTGAAACACCAGCAGAACTACAGTGTGTTCAGGAAGTTGGGACATTTAATACTTCTCATATGGACAATGGTTGAGAGTTGGCAGTTTTTTAAAGAGACATTATTAAGGGCACAAGAGCAAACTATCCTAATGTGTAGGAAAGATAGGAAGTATGGTAAGACACCACACTGGCTTAACCAGGAGAATATCAACCATCTGAAACTCAAAAAAAAAAGAAAAAAAAAAAAAAAAAAAAAGTCCTACAAGATGTTAAAATGAGGTCAAATTATGAAGATCATGAGTATCAAAAACAACACAACCATGTAAGGACAAAACTTAACAGGCCAAGGCATGAAATGAGCTTAAATTAGGTAGGGGACATAAATATTAGTAAGAAAACATTTTACAAATACAAGAGAGAGGACAAGGTAGGCCCATCATTCAATGAGAAGAGAGACAATAACCGAAAACGAAGCAATAGCTGAACTGTTAAATGCCTTTATTGGTTTTCACCAAGAAGGTTAGTTGTGATGGTATTGACTAAAATAGTGATCCATGTAAATGGAGTAGGATTTGAGGCTAAAATAGGACAAAACACATTAAGAATTACATAGGTTAGATGTCTTCAGATCGGCAGGGTCTGGTGAAATACATCCTAATACTTAAGATCTCTTCAACCAGGTCTGTGAGCCGTTAGCAATTACCTTTAAGAACTTGTGGCGGACAGGAGAGATTGGAAGAGGGAAAATATAGTACCTATCTATAAAAGGGGGAATAAGGACACCCCAGGGATTATATACCAGTCATCTTAACACTGGTACCCAGAAAGAAGAGAATAAATCAAACAATACGTAAGCACCTAGAAGATAACAAGGTGAAAAGTAATGGTCAACATGGATTTGTCAAGAACAAATCAGATCAAACCAACCTAATGTCCTCCTTTGACAAGGTAACAAGCTTTGTGGATTGAGGGAGAAGTAGGTGTGATATATCTTGACTTTAGTAAGGCTTTTGGTACTGGCCCTCATGACATTCTCATAAACAAACTAGAGAAATATAGTCTAGGTGAATCTACTATAAGGTAGGTGCACAAATGGTTGGAAAAGCATACTTGGAGTAGTTATGAATGGTTCACAGTCAAGCTGGAAAGGCATATCAAGTGGGGACCTGTAAGGATCTGTCCTGCGTGGATTCTATTTAAATTCATAAATGATTTGGGTAATGGTATAAAGAGTACACTTATAAAATTTGGACGATACCAAGTTGGGAGTGGTTGCAAGCACTTTGGAGGACAGGATTGGAAATTCAAAATGATATTGACAAAGTGAAGAAATGGTCAGAAATAAATAGGATGAAATTCAATAAGGACACATGCAATATTACACTTAGGAAGGAATAATCAATTGCACAAATATAAAATGGGAAATGATTGCCTAGGAAGGAGTACAGCAGACGAGGATTTGGGAGTTATAGTTGATGACAAAATAAATCTCAACAATGTAATACTTTGCAGAAATAAAAAGCACACATTGTTCTGGAGTGTATTAGTAGGAGTGTTGTAAGCAAGACGTGAGAAGTAATTCATCCACTCTAATGAGCACTGATAAAGGCTCAGCTGGAGTATTGTGTCCAGTTCTGGGCACCACACTTTGGGAAGATGCAGACAAATTGGAGAAAGTCTAGAAGAGAGCAACAAAAATGACTAAAGGTCTAGAAACCATGACCTACAAGGAAAGATTGAAAAGAATTGGCTTTGTTTAGTCTGGAGAAGAGAAGTCTGAGGGAAGTCATAACAGTCTTCAAGTATGTAAAAGGTTGTTATGAAGAGGAGGGTAATAAATTGTTCTCCTTATCTACTGAGAACAGGACAAAAAGCAATGGACTTTAATTGAAGCAAGGGAGATTTAGGTTAGAAATTAGGAAAAACTTCCTAACTGTAATGGTAGTTAAGCACTGGAATAAGTTGCCTAGGGAGGTTGTGGAATCTCCATCATAGCAGATTTTTAAGAGCAGGTTAGACAAATACAGGGATGGTCTAGATAATGCATAGTCCTGCCTCAGTGTAGGGGACTGGACTAGATGACTGACTGACAGGTCTCTTCCAGTCCTACATTTCTATGACGTGCAGGCTTTAAGCAACTAAAATGCAGGTGAAAATATTTGAGTATTGAATCTAACTGGATCTGGACTATTCAGAAATCACATTTCTATCTACTGTTGTATAATTACTTTTTTATGTTTGAAGAGTATGTTTAATGGGGACATCTCAGGAGACTGGGTAATAACTTTTTAATATTGGTTCAAATCCAGGCTAGAGAAGTAGTGACTAAAGGTTGCTTCTAGCTGCTGGCTTATGTTATAAAGCTACAAACACTAGTAAGTTAATTTAGAAGCAACTTAAAATCTATCCAGTTTTTAAAAATTAAAGGAGATTCAGATGTTCGCGCTGACTGACCCTTAAATGACTATTTGGGTCTTGGCTTTTTAGTTACTTAATTGCTAACAGCAGAGAACAGAATATGATGTGTGTTGTGCGTTATTCTTCAGTACAAATATTGGTAATGAGCAACGTTAACAGTAGACACAAAGCATGAAGTGTTTACTTTTCTAGTCCTATAAAGTTTATGGAAGAGCTCAAAACAATTAATCTAGTTTGTGATAAATTCCACTTATTGTTTTGTAGTCAGTATTAACTGCTATCACAAATCCATGGAGGGAAGTGAATAAGATTCCCTGAGAAAAATGGTATTTAATAAACTGAGCAAGTGCATAGCGTTGATTCTCCTTTATTCTAAAATGGCACATTTTTCTTTAGAGGGAAGAGACATATTGGAAAATCCAGACCCAAAAAAGCACTGCTCAGCTACAGCTGTCATCTCTGTTTGGAAGTTTTGAATCCCATCCAGAAGCTTGATAACCTAATGAATGGTCAAAGGGGATCTCTGACTATAGAGTAATTCAACTAACTGTGTTAAAATTAGTCTACCAAGCACTTAAACATTGATTTCAGTTTCTATAATTAATACTGTTTTGGTAGAACATTAACTAACAAAGGGAAACTTAAAGGTACAGACATGCAATTGCAATACCTTGCTATAGGCAACACCTATATATAATTTGATCAGAAATGATCAAATTGAAATGGAATTGGGAACTACTCATCAAATTAAGGTTATCAGAAGTGGATTCTTAGAAAAGACACATACTGGGCTAGTGCCTCAGCTCTCGAGAATCAGTGTAGTTCCATTGGAGTGAATGGAGCTTCTCTGGTTTGCATCAGTTTGGGATATGGCCCTCTCATTGCATGTGGCTTCGCAGGGACTCTAGGCCTGGTTATACAAAGGCTTCTTAACACTCTGCTGGTAATGTAAAGAGGGCTTAAATTGAGTGTAAATTATTCTCTGACACCCTTCAAGGCATGTCAGTGTAAAAGAGAATTAGGTCCTCTCTAATTCATAAATAAAAAGGTGTAACTGATTTTCCACATCTGTTCATTGCCGGTGGGTATAATTTCAACATGGTTATTATGGTATTACTATGGGAATCTCTCTTAACTATCCCACAGTTAGTGATGCATGACAGTGATTCCTTTCCACTAAAGGAAAGGAGAACAGCTGCAGCAGAAATTTTGCGGAAGTTTAGTACCCATTTAATGTCACCCCCCCCCCCCAATTGCCTAGCACTGCACAAAATATATTCACGATTGCAGCTTCCTGTCCTGTGTTTACTAGCCTATTCTACATGCTAGCTAGCCCTCCTTTCATCAGAGCTCTGGCATTTCATGTTTTTCCTCCTTCCTAGCTTTCTCTGATGGGATCCTCACAGACATACTCCTTGCTAAAAACTCCCTTTCCTCTAGCTTCATTTGCTCCCTCTAGGCCAGAGGTTCCCAAACTTATTTGGCCTACCGCCCCCTTTTCAGAAAAAAAATTACTCAGCGCCCCCTGGAAATCTACCTTCTTTAAGCGAACAAGCAGAAAGATGCGGTGACAAATTTGCGTTCTTTTATGTATCTATATTTCTACCTACGTCCTACAATATAGTAAAGAAAGATGTTATTGTAAATAAGACACCTTGAAGCTTGAAATTATAAAATTATTTATTAAAATCAACCATAGTAACATTCGCATTACACACAGAAAATGAAGATAACGAAGGATAATATTAAAATAAAAATTATGAATAACATTAAAAATAATCCTAATGAGAAGGATGAACCTGGTGCGCTGCTATCAAT